GCGGCTTATAGTCCGAAAAATACGGTAATAATTATATCGGATATCGATATCGGCTGAAATTTTCATATTGGTGCATCCCTAATCCTGACGCATCTCAATAMTCCAGGTAGARGAAGCTAACAAAGTGGAGTCAGGTCTTCTAGATGAGTTCTTCTTCTTTGAAGTGTTTTGTCTTTTCTCCAAGCGAAGAGTTCACCCAGTMCCAGTTCTACATTGGGGAAACAAAGCAGCCRCCAAAAGGATGGCCCAGCACAGAAGAGCAKCATCATCAGAYCAGGACWCTGCAGTTTACACTCATCTGTAGGCCAGCTGTTACTCTTGCAAGAAGGAATTGTTCTCAYCCTTGATAGAGAGGAACGTTGGTTTGAGAGAAGAGTAAAGGAAGCYATTTTTGTGAAGAGAACCTGAAGGTCTCCATGTTGCCCCCCTCTTACTAGGCTGTTATTGAGGGCTACCAGCCAAATGCAATGAAATAATACAAGAAATACAAATAATGTTTAGGTAAAGTTTTTTTTATGATTGTTAGCAGCCAGTGCAGTGGCCCATGTTTTTTTTTTCTGTTTTTAGCCCATGTAATAAAATATACCATAAAAAGTCTAATATGATTGTTTTACATTGTGACTCCAATGTTGAAATGCGGACTTCCTGTTTATGTGGGTAAAATGTGTTTTGTATGTTTCTATTATATGAGCCCATGRTTTTACACATATACTGTACACATACAGCGTTTATCAGTTATTAACAGATATTTTTGTGTTCCTGTGTCTGCATCACGTGGACGCGCTGCGTGCTGTGGATGTGTTTCTGCCTCTGATTTATCAGACCAGTTGGTGGATGAAGTTGCCAAGCTTGACACCCAGCACTCCTCCTCCACACTGGCAACATTTATTCATCGCCAACAGCGCTCATTTTTTTATTTTTTATTTGTTTTTTATTTGCCCCACCGATCCCCGCTACACGTCAGGCCGGCCTCTCTGCAGGCAGACAAACGAAATGTCAGGGGAGTTTGTTTTTCTTTTCTTTCAGACGTTTGTTTCCTGACATGTTTTCTGCCACTTTGCTGAACGAGCKAAAATAAATTCTGAAAACAGTTTAGAGCTTCAGTTCACTTTTGCGCACCTTTATCTCAGAGAGGGGTTCAACTCGTGAGAGAAACTTAAATATTTTCAAACAGTTGAAATAATTTGTCATTTTATGACCACCTTATGTCTTATCAATATTAAGAAAAATGGTTTTCTTCTACACATTTTTTGGCACATAACTTATTCCTCAATTTTTGTTATATTTCAATAATTGAAATCTCAAAATGTTCAGCTTCTTCAGGACATTTGGTATTTCAGCAATTTATACTTTTTGAGATATTTAACTTTATTAGCTATCATTTTAACTTTTCAGCTATTCTTCTATTTTAAGCTTTTTTCTGTTGCTTTCTGCTAATTTTAGCTATTTGTGTTTTTCGCTRTGTTTTAGCTAATTTGACTAGTTRAACTTTTTGTGATAATTTCAGTTTCTTACTGCACAATTCAGCAAATGTGTTCTTTCTGTGTCTTTGTGCTAATTTCAGTACCTTTTAAGCTACATGTAGGCTAGTTTTTGCTGTAATTTATTTTAATCTGTTGCACGTATTTTTGAGAAATAGATCTGCTTGAGTTATGAGTTGCTCCAAAGTGAGGATAAATTTATAGATTGTCTAAAAATAACACGTTGTCTACTTTAAGGTCAGTTTCCTGTGGCAGCCTTCTTGAATCCTGTTACATCTGATCAGGTGTAGATGAACATTCAGACAATAATTAAAGATATTTGCATTCTAACATGAAAAAAATGTAAAAAAAAAAAAAACACTTTCCTGTTTTTATTTTGTGCTGCTCTTTTCTGAGTTGCTCTTAAATAAAATACAGAAGCGTTTTATCWGAATTACCTGATCTGAGTGTGGGAGACTGTTTAACACAAAGATGTATGATTTTCTCCTCAGAAGGGTGCCAGACTCTCAGCATTCTTTCTAACGAATCAAACGGTTTTCAGTGGGAAGTGAAAGAAAACGTGGAGGCGATGAAGACAATAGTTGTTTGTTGCAGATTTGTTTTTCTGTTTTTTGAAAAGTGCTGCACAGTTTTCAAACCTGATGTCACAGCTCAGATAACTGATGCTCCAGTTGAATGATTCATTAGCCTTTAAAGAAAACAAATAAATGAATGAATCAGCATTTAAACATGAAGTTGATTTGGCATCTTGGCAAAGAGTATTTGAGCCCTAAAGTCATCATTTTCAGCTACATATTAATATCTCATCAGATGGTAAAAGGTTTTAGCTTTGTGTTGTTGACGGGCTTTTTAAATTAATTTTATAATTAATCAAATTTAGTCATCTTAAAACGTTTGTATTTTGTGTTTTTCCAGGTTGAGGAAGAGGAGGACATTGGGTTTGCTGAAGGAGCTTCAGAAAGTAAGTTCATTAAATAATTGTTGTTTTTGTAGTTTCGCTTTGAAGGAAACACACTCTTATCACTTTTATTTATACTCATTAGCACCCCTCACTCTCTCTCACACACATCCTTGTACTTCCATCAAACTGAGGACTTTATATTGACATCCATTCATTTTTGTAACTGCATTAATGCCTAACCCAGACATTTTCCCTAACCCTAACCATTACTAGTCTATTCCTAACCTTAACCAAAACTGTATTCTCACCACCCCTCTAAACCTGACTAGTAGAGAGCAGTAGAGCTGCAAAAAAAAGTGAGGACCGGGAAAATGTCCTCACTTCCCAAATATGTCCCCATTTTGCGGATTAAAACAGGATGTCCTTGCTATGCTGCAAAAACAAATATACACACACACACACACACACACACACACACACACACACACACACACACACACACACACACACACACA